GGAGACTAAGTGGCTTATCTGAGGTCTAAGAAAGCCTTTGGCTACACGGTAGGACCAGATTAGGGATGGAGTAGGGGTAGGGCCCTGGACAACCCTGAGAATTCTTTCTGGCAGGCATGGAGGAGGTGCATATCAATGAAAGGACTGTCAGCCCCTTATTGCATTTGTCCGAAGATAGAAGGACCCTGACCTTCAGTGCCAAGAAGTCCAAGACCTGCTCAGATGACCCAGAGCGCTTTGACCACTGGCCCAATGCCCTGGCTGCTACCACCTTCCAGACTGGGCTCCATGCCTGGATAGTGAACGTTCAGCACAGTTGTGCTTATAAAGTAGGCGTGGCCTCAGCCCAGCTGCCCCGAAAGGGTTCTGGTAGTGACTGCCGCCTGGGCCACAATGCCTTCTCCTGGGTCTTCTCCCGCTATGATCAAGAGTTCCGTTTCTCACACAATGGACAGCATGAGCCTCTGGCGCTGCTTCGGTGCCCGGCCCAGCTGGGCGTGCTGCTGGACCTTCAAGCAGGAGAGCTGGTCTTCTATGAGCCTGCTTCAGGGACAGTGCTTCACATCCACCGCACGTCGTTCCCTCGGCCGCTGTTCCCAGTCTTTGCCGTGGCAGACCAGGTCATCTCCATCGTTCACTGACCATTGGCCACGGTGAGGCCAGATCCACGCCGCCATCACTCTTGCAGGTCAGGCCATGCTTCCAGCTAGTGTCCTTTCCCCCAGTGATGTGTCCGGTCTTCCCCATGGGCAACTTTTGGAGAGATGGGATCTGCTTCAGACTCAGACATAACCTTTTGATGTTGGTCATCTGTGGGATCTTTCTTGGCCTTGATCTCCCAAACCCACCATGCTCGCGCCCTTCCGAGGGTCTCATTAATCTGTGTCCCTGGCATCCAGCATGGTGCCTGGGGCATGGCTAGTGTCCAGCGAGGTACAGTGAGGGAGCATATGGCTGAGCAGGCAGTTGACCCTTCATGTGGCAGTTTTTGGAGAAGTCCCTGGATGCCTTTCTGCGGAAAAGCCTGTGGTGAAGCTTCCCTAGCCTCTCAGTTCAGTATTTCATGATCTTTTTCATGACGCAGCACGTGGAGAGAATATTTTTCTAGCACACAGAGGACAACCTGCCAGGCTGCTCTTGGCCAGAAAACTGGCCCGCAAGTGTCATGCCCTCTTCCCATATTCTACCATGGCACCAGTATCCTCTCTCCAGGAAATGTGCTTGCAGCACAGTTGTGGGTATCTGTCCCAGGCCCTGAGGCTGAGCTCTAGCGTGGACCTGCCTGTGATAAGGGTGATCCCCCTCACTGTGCACCGCACTTCGTGACTCTTTCCTTAGGGTGGAGACCTGGGTGGAGAGCTTCAAGCCAGAGGAGCTGAGGGGAAAGGAGGGCTATCTTTAATGAATGAATGTGTTATTAAAGGTTTCTAAAGACTTAGCGATGTCTTTGCTGGTAACTGGCTTCATGCTGCATGGTAGCCTTGGGTACATGCTTAGAAATAAGTGAGTCGTGGCTCCACCCAGCAGAAGGAGCCTGGAGATGTTACTTTAGATGTTGAACCAAGGGCAAGTCTGTTTGCCATTTCCTCCATAAGGAGTTCCTCTGAGAACAAGAGTGTTCTTGCCAGGACTGGGGACGAAGCTTGGTGGCAGAGCACTTGTCTAGCATGCTAAAAGTCCTGAGTTCAATCCCCAGCACTGCAAACAGTTTGAAACCAGTCGGGGTGGTCACAAAGTCCAGCTGGCAGATAATCACTGTTCTGCTTCAGTCCCTTATTGCCATGCAGGAATGTGGTCCCAGGATGACTGGGAGGGAGATCTTTGGAGAACAGTGTGTGTTCATATGGGTGGGTATGCATGTATGTAAGTGCATGCATGTGAAGGCCAGAGGATAGCCTTAGCTGTCACCTTCACAAGTGCCATCTCCCCTTTGGAGATGGCCTCCCAGTGGCCTGGAGCTCATCAACTCGGGTAGACTAGTCAGTGAGCCTCAAGGAACTGCTGGGATTCCAAGCACACATCACCATATCTGGCAAGTTTATGTGGGTTTGGGGGGTCAAGTTGGGTTCCTGCTTGCAGTGAGCAGGCACTTTTCCAACTGAGCTCCCTCCCTAGTCCTCCTGGATTTTTAATTTATTGTGTGTGCGTAACATGAGGGGTGCTCCATGCCATGGTGTACACTCGGAAGTCACCAGAGGACAGCTTTCTGGAGTTGGTTCCTTCCTTCGTCTCTACGGAGTCCCAGGTCAAACATGAGTCATCGTGAGGTTTTTTGTTTTTGAGACAGGGTTTCTTTGTGTAGCCCTGGTTGTCCTAGAACTCGCTCTATAGACAAGGCTCGCCTCAAACTCAGAGATCTACTTACCTCTGCCTCCTGAGAGCTGGGATTAAGGATGTATGCCATCACTGACTGGCTCATTTGTGGGGTTTTTTTTTTTTTTTTTTTTGGTTTTTCGAGACAGGGTTTCTCTGTGTAGCTTTGCGCCTTTCCTGGGACTCACTCTGTAGCCTGGGCTGGCCTCGAACTCACAGAGATCCGCCTGGCTCTGCCTCCCAAGTGCTGGGATTAAAGGCATAAGCCACCACCACCCGGCGGAGGGCGGGGGGTGTTATTCTTTTAAATAGCCTAGGCTGGCCTTGAACTCATTATATAGCTTCCACCTCTAGAATTCCAGGGTTATAGACATGTGCTACCATGCCCATATGTGACATACCTTGTTAGGTTTGCCTACTGGCTTATTCAAAACACTGATCAGATCAAATCCATACACAGGTCTACTATTATCAACTAACTTTTGTTGAAGATGATTTCTGAGACCCTTGTAGCTGGGACCACAGCTCATGACCTGTGTTCACTGCCTGACTCTTATGAATTACTACTGAGTCATCAGTTTCAAGGCAGACAGATCTAGAAAGGTTTGGTCAATCTGAAGAGATCTTCATTGCCATTGCCTGGACATGGAGCTCTTTTAAACATCTAGGTCAAAGCCATCTTCCGCTAGTACCCAAAGACCCCATGCTGTGGTGCCCTGACCACCAACTCAGATGCTGTAGCAGTGTTCAGCTTACAGTTTATGGGGCTGTTGCAGACATGCCCCTTCCTCCCTCTAACTGTCCAGATACTACCCAAACTTTATCCCCAGGTGAGAGTCCCCTCCAGAGTCACTGCTGTGTGTATCAGAGCATTACACTTGTGCTTGTCTGTGCTTATAGCCCATGGTATCCCCTGTGCCCAGCAGTGAACAAGGCATAGATGTGTCTAATAGACACCAGTTATATAGGTAAGACAGGAAGGAAAATTGAAAAAACCAAAAACATGCAGGTGTCATGACCCACACCTTTAATCCCAGCACTCTGGGAGACAGGGGCCGGTGGATCTCTGTGAGTTCAAGGCCAGCCTGGTCTACAGAGTTCCAGGATAGGCTCCAAGCTACACAGAGAAACCCTGTCTCTTAAAAAAAAAAAAAAAAAAAAGGAATTTAGGAGGGTATCTGATGCAGGGCAGGTACAAGTCAGCAGTGTTCCTTCTATAGTGTCTTCCTCTCAAGGGTGCTAGTCCCTACTGTATAATCTAGCACCCTGACTTTCAAATTCATCTAACCCTGAGGTTCCAAGGTTGGGGAGGGGATTTCTACTTCAACTTCTTTGGGCTTTTTTGATTTTGTGTTTTGCACAGTGGGGTTTCAGATCACAAGCCCTTGCTGTAAAGGAGAGACAGACAGACAGACAGACAGAGACTGACTATGCCTACAGTTTGAACCCAGGGCCGCATAAGTTAGACAAGTACTCTACCACTGATCTACATCCCTAGCTCTTGAAAGTGGCTCACACTTGTGACCCTGATTCAGAAGGCTGATGGAGGAAGGTCACCATGAGTTCCAGGCCAGTGTGGACTAGAGTAAGTTCACGTCAACCTGGGCTAGAGTGAAAACCTACCTCAAAAAGTACCTGGTTGTGAATCGACCGTCCATGGATAAGGAGCAGGGGTTATGATAGAAAAGGGACAGAGGGAACTGGTGAGACAGCTAAGTGCTAACAGCACTTGCTGTCCACACTCTGTGATCTGTTCGATCCCCAGAACCCATGTAAGGAGAGACCAGTCTATAAAATTATCCTCTGACCTACACACACACACACACACACACACACACACACACACACACACACAGTTGCTGTGGGATGTCTTTCTGTACACTGTAAATATGTGTTACTCCCATTGGCTAATAAATAAAGCTGCATTGGCCTATGGCAGGGCAGGATGGAGCCAGGCGGGAAGATCCAAGAGAGATAGGGAAAGGAGAAAGAGGCAGAGCAGAGACGCCAGCCTGCCACCCAAGAACAATATGCCAGCAGACCAGTAAGCCACAGAACATGTGGCAAAACATAGATTAATAGAAGTGGGTTAATTTAAGTTGTAAGAGCTAGCTAGCCAGAGGCCTGAGCCATTAGGCCATACAGTTTATAAATAATATAAGCCTCCGTGTGTGTACTTGTCTGAACGACTGCAGGACGAGCGGGATCCAGGAAAACTTCTGACTACACACTGTAGTACATATTACACACACACACACACACACACTGTGGTACACATTACACATACTGTGGTACACATTCTACACACACACACACTGGTACACATTACACATACTGTGGTACACATTACACACACACACACTTACTGTGGTACACATTCTACACACACACACACACACACACACACTGTGGTACACATTACACATACTGTGGTACACATTACACACACACACTTACTGTGGTACACATTCTACACACACACACACACACACTGGTACACATTACACATACTGTGGTACACATTACACACACACACTTACTGTGGTACACATTCTACACATACACACACACACACACACACACACACACACACACACACACACACACCTATAATAATAATAAATAAAAAGGGACACAGACAGGTATGAATAATGAGTGAGCTCAAAGACGAGACTACTGCCAAGCCCTTGCTGTTCCATGACCAGGATAGTTTATGGAGGCTGCAGAGGCAGGGAGGGCCAAGGCATCTCCCTCTACAGCAGAGGGGAGAAAGAAGGGACTCCCTGCTTCCAGTGTTTATTTGGTCCCAACTACTTCCGCCATCAGACTCATGACATAGGGTTTGAGGCCTCCAGAAGATCAAGGGCAGGCAGGAGATGGGACAGGGAGGGCAGAATATGTTCTTTAGGTATAGAACTTCTGACTGAGGGGTCCAAAGGCTCTGGGCCTTCCACCAGGAAGCTGTGCATGCCCACAGCCCGAGCCCCCTGGTAATCACAGCGGTAGCTATCCCCAACATGAGCTGCTACCGCAGGTTCTACACAAGCGAGTTGCAAGGCCTCGTGGAAAATTCGTGAGTCTGGTTTAGAACAGCCCACAGCCTCAGAGGTCAAAACAAATTCAAAATGGTCTCGCAGGCCAAGGCCTACTAGGATATCCTCTAGTCGCCGGTCAAAATTGGAGATCGCGGCCAGCCTCAGACCACGCTTACGGCACCCCTTCAGGGTAGTCTCAGCCCCCTCCAATACCTGCCAAGTGGAGGGGCTGCTGAAGTCTTCGTATAGGCGATCAGCAATGGGAGTAATGGCCTGGGCATCTGGGACCCCTGCTAGGTGGAAGGTATGTAGGACCATGTCCATCCACCATTGACGGGAGCTAAGGCCACTGCTCTGGCCATAGTTGGGAAATCTGTGGCTCTGGGTCGTGTATGCCTGCCGGAAGGCTTGTTCCAGGGCTGTGGCTTCCACCACCAGCCCATGGGCCCGGGCCTTGCTGGCATATTCCTCCCCAACAGGACGGCGGAGCTTGATCAAGGTATCCTTCATATCCCATGTCAGTAGACGTATCTGCAGCCGGTGGGCCATGGAGATCAAGTTCACCGTAGGTCCTAGCATCAAAGGAGACACTGAACTTGTTCAGGTCACCCCTCCACAGGCTAACAGTGACTCCTTTCCAGGCTGTGTAGGTCAGAGTTGGAGGCTGACACAAGGCACTTTGGAAATGTCTTTCAGCACAAGATCCTGGAATGAACATCAGCAGGTGAGATGGACTCTGAGGCCCTGATGTCAGAGACTGGGTCCACATTCTGATGTACCAAGTTCATGACCTGAGGAGTTACTCTCTGAATACCTGGGAATCTCACACGGAAAAGAAACATGAGGACTCCAACCTCCCAAGATCTTGAGGCTAGAGCTGAAGTTGTGGCTCAGTTGGTAGAGTGCTTGCCTAGCTTACATAAAGCCTGGGCTTGGTCCCCAGTACTGAATAAGCGAGGCATAGTGGCACAGACTTATAACCCAGCGACTGGGAGGAGGAGGAGGAGGCAGGACAATCAGAAGTCCAAAGTCATCTTTAGCTATATAGCAAGCCTGAGACCAGCCTGGGCTGAACCTGTCTCAAAAAATAAGAAAAAAAAGTGAACAAAGATTTTTGGTCTAAATGAAATTATTTTAATGCGTTTGTTTCAAACCAGATTTCTGGGCATCTTATGATCCGGATGTTGGGGAAGAAGACAGGTTTCCAGCCCCTGTGGCATTTCTAGGTATTAAATAATAAGGGTTTCTTTGTAGACAACTACAAAACAAGCATAACGAAGCCAATATGTGGCATGAGGCTGGAAGTCCAGAACCAAGTTAGTCTTTGAACTCAGGGAATTTCCTTAGCAGGTGAAGTTCTGGGGGAGACCTGAGAAAAGAACATTCGGGATGTGTGTGTGTGTGTGTGTGTGTGTGTGTGTGTGTGTGTGTGTGTGTGTGTGTGTGCGCGTGTGTGTGTGTGTGTATCACAACTGCCTTGAGGCTGGGCAAAGTCTAGGGCTCTGGGTGGAGCTGAGCTCAGGTACACAGTCTTGTAGGTCAAAGTCAGGGAGCAGTTATGACTGCTATTATCTTTGTTGTATTTTGCCTTCATGTAAGCGCACCTCAGTCATGTCTGGCACCTGTGGAGCCAGAAGAAGGTGTCAGATCCCCTAGAACAGGAGTTATGGACAGTTGTGAGCTGCCATGTGGGTGCTGGGAACCGAACGCAGGCCCTCTGGAAGAGCAGGCAGTGCTCTTAACCTCTGAGCCATCTCTCAGCCCATGACCCTGTTAACATTATTAGTAAATGTGCCCCTTCTTTGAGAGGCCCATATCCACACTTGAGTATGCCTGACTTTCTCCTAACCCTTATGCTTAAGCCTGTATTAAAATATCATTAATAAAATCTCCAACTTAACTTCATCAAAAAAAAAAAAAATCTCCAAAACCTACTAGTAATGTCAAAAGAGAGGAAGGTCCCTGGAGACTGACCAACAACACGGCTGGTGAGGGGTTGATGGAGCCAGTGAGGGGCAGTTACTTGCCTAAGGTCACAGTGAGCCTGCAAATACAGCCTGGATTAGAACCCACATGTTCAGACTCTGGCCAGGGCTCCCTTCCACTGGACTTTGCTTACCTATATTTATATCCTTTCAAAAATTGTATTATGCTGAGCCTGTACAGGGTGGGACAGAAGACAGTCTGTCCCTACCTGTCTCTTAAGCTTCCCCATCCTTCCAGGAGTTAGTAATAATAACTGCCAGGGAGGCCAGCCCAGGAGGGTGACAGACCCAGTGCCCAGAAGGCAGTTCTGTGCCTGGAGTGAGAGACCGACTGCAGGTTTCTTCCCCAGACAGACCTGAGTGCAGACAAAGCTGCCTCTCTTTGAATCTGAGGGGGCCGGATTCATTCAGAATGCAGCCAAGCAGGTGCAGACAGAGGTGAGGGGGTGGAGGGGGGGGGGCGCTTGGAGAAACGTGACAAAGAGGAGGATTTAAGTCAGCTTGAAATAGGGAGACAACTTTATAAAGGGGCTCTTACTGCTCAAGTGGGGAGGCCGAGGCCCAGGCAGGAACCGGACTGTATCCCAAAGACCTCGGGACATCCCTGGCTCAGCTAAGCCCCAGGACAAAAGGTACAGCCGGGTTGGGGGCCTCTGCTGCAGGCCTGATCACTCTGAAAGCAGCGTGACCCGGGCTCCGGCGTCCCCGGCTCGGCTGCACGGCGCCCCGCACACCCGGGGTCCCGCACACACCCGGGTTCCCGCACACACCCGGGGCCCCGCACCCACCTGGCTCGGGGAAAGCGACCAGAGGCAGCGGCTGCTCCACCGGCTTCACGTAGACGCGCAGACGCTCGAGACCCGCAGACCTGGCCTGACTTCTTCTCGCCCCGCCCGGCTCTAGGCGTCACCAAGCTCCTCCCTCGTGCGGGGCTCCCGCCCTCTCTGCTGGTCTCCGGCCTCTCTGTCCCTGCCGTTACCCCGCAGCCTCCCTGCTCCCTGGCCCACGCCCTCCCGCTCCTCAAGGTCACTGTCACAGCCCCTCTCCCCACTCCCCTATCACTCTCTCAACTGCGGTGATTCTCTCTGCTTCTCATCTCTACCCGCAACCCCTCACCCTCCACCCCCGCCGCATTCCCGCTTCCTACATCCCTGGGTAGGGGACGCCCGGGGAAGTACCTAGACTAATTTGGGGATGGGGGAATTGGGGGCTCAGCCTGTCTCCCCTAGTGCAGTGAGGACTCCAGCAGGGCGCTGTCCCTCTGTTCTGAGAGACCCCAGTCCATTCTAGAAAGAAATTCCTGCCTCTGCCCCTCAAGTGCTGGGATTATAGGCACTGCTACCACCGTGTTTGTTTATCCTAGGCACCTTTAAACACTCATCTTAAGGGGAAAGGAAGAGTAGTGTTTTCATAACTGAAATACATGTTTATCTTTAAAAAAATGTCCAAAGCAAACAAACAAAGTTGCACCCACAATCTCGTTGACTCGCCACATGCTAAGCAAGCACCTGTGCTCTGTGCATGACCCATTCATTCTTCACTGAGGATACAGCCGTTTCCTGCCTACAGGAACATGGAAGGAACAGGCAAACATCAAATAAATAAGAGAAACGGGCCTTAAGTGCAGCCAAGGATTTGGCTGGGGGCTGGGGGTGGGGGTAGGAGCGCTGCCCACTGCTCTTTACTTCCCCTCCCCCACCAACACCCTGTTAAAACCTCTGTTATCTCCTGGCGGCTTTGTGGACTTTGGACTCAACTGGCTCTCACTGGGCCTCAGAAAACAAAGTGCAAGGACCAGGAGGTTCACCTGATTTTGTGACCCAAGCTTGATTCTCAGAAATGGAGGTAGGAAGATAGGATATCAGAGGCTCACCTGTTTTTCACAGAATCCAGAATCCCGACTCAGTCTCTTTTCAGGGTCATCGCAAACCTAACCCTTTAGTTTCTGATCCCAACTCCGCCATCCTGGGGACTAGACAAAGTAACTTCCAACAGAATCCAGGCTAGCTTTATGTGGGTTTCCAAGATAATTAATGTCTGATACTCTGGATCTAGCTTCTTTTTGATTTGCAAGTTCCAAGATAGGCACACTTGGCCAGGTGATACACACCTGCAAGCCCAGTTAGGAAGCCAAAGCAAAAGGATTACTCCAAGTGTCAAGCTAGGCTTGGCTATGGAGCAAGATCCCTTCAAACAGACAAATAGCACATGGATACGATTTAATGGATATGTTTCCATCCCATAACTAATTACAAAAATCAGACAGTTTCAGCCCTTAATCTAACCTATGCCCCCTGGCTTATTATTAGTTTGGGATGTTTTTGCTTTAGGAAATCAAGTATTATATAAAACATTTCCCTTCCTTGAGAGTCTCCTGTTGAAGATACTAAGAAAACCCAGGCAGGGGCGCACCTGCCAGACACACATAGCTTATAACTTAATTTTTCATTCACTTTTAAAATTTTTTTCAGTTAAAACACACTGAAAAAAAAAGAAAAGAACAGGCTGAGTGTGGTAGCACACGCCTTTAATCCTAGTACTCAAGAGGCAGCGGCCAGGCTGATATCTATTGTTTGAGGCCAGCTTGGTCTACACCAACAAATTCCAGGACAGCCAGGGCAACATAGTAAGACCACATTGTTAAAAAAATGTTTTTGAATTTTCACAGTATATTCTTGCAACTGCTACCCTTCCAATCTAGATAGATGCCTTAGAGCATGTCTGCTTCCAATTGTTTATCCCCAAGTGGTAGCAAAAACCTCCACCTGCCCCTTTTTGAGATAGGATCTCACATGGTAGCCCAGAACTATGATTGCCCTATTTCATTCACAGCAATCCTCCTGCCTCAGCCTCTTAAGTGCTGAGATACAAGTCTGAGCCACCATGACCCACTTCTTTATGTATGTGGTGCTAGAGGTGAACCAGAACCAGGCAAGTATTCTTTCTACTACTGACCACCCCAGCCTTCCCATGGTTTTTATCGTAATTTCACTTGTGAGCTGTGTAAATGGAACAATACAGCAGGCATGATCTTGTATCTTCCTTTGCTTCTAAGTTTTATTAATCCATGTCACACTGTGTGGCTGTCTTGTTCATTTTCAGAACTGTAACATTCCATAATCATAGGGAGCACATCTCACTGCTGATGGACATCTGGGTTACTTCCAGTTTGGGATGGTCACACATATTAGAAAGTGTTAAGACCCATTTTTCTCTTGGGTTGGTCTCCAACCTCGGCTTGTGATCCTCCCATCTAGGCAGCTGAGGACAGCAGGCACATGTGAACCTTCTAAATATGTCTTAGAGAACACCAGTACACACTCTCAATAAATACATAGGTGTGGCAATCAGGATACCATCATTGAGTATGTTTCATTTCAGTAGATAGAGCCAGTTTTCTGAAATGGGTGTACTAGCAACTAGAGTTCTCATATTCCCCATTCTCAACAGGCATCTACCTTTCAATGTTAGAAAATATGGATTTATGACATCTCAATGCTCCCAAACCCACTGGTGCTCATGCATGTGATTTGAGAGTTGTTGCTATGTTGCATAGGATGGCCTTGAACTCATGATCCTTCTTTCCCAGCTGTCCAGTGCTGTAATTATTAGAATGTACTACCACACTCGGCTAAAACTACCATCATTGATTATGAGAGATGAAAAATGGAATGTAGGCTGGGTGGTGGTGGCACATGCCTTTAATCCCAGAACTTGAGAGGCAGAGGTAGGTGGATCTCAGTGAGTTTGAGGCCAGCCTGGTCTATAAAGCAGTTCCAGGGCAGCCAGAGCTACACAGAGAAACCCTGTCTAGGGGCGTGGAGGAAAAAAAAGAAAAAAGGAATGAATAAGACAGGAACTGAGATCAATACCCCTGCCTACACAAACTGACAAACCAGCCCCAGTTTGCTTAGAGAAGTAAATTATATAAACACACACACACACACACACACACACACACACACACACACACACACACACACCAGAGAGAGAGAGAGAGAGAGAGAGAGAGAGAGAGAGAGAGAGAGAGAGAGAGAGAGAGAGAAGTGATATTTTATTTGTATGTTAATAAATAAAGTTTGCCTGGAGATCAGGGGACACAGTCAGCCAAAAACAAAAGTCAGGCAGTGGTAGCACACGCCCTTAATCTGATCACATGGTAAGCAGAGTCTCTGTGTGTTCAAGGGCACACTAGGGGACAACCAAGCGTGTTGACACATGCCTTTAATCCCAGTACCAACCATAGAGACCTGGAGGTCTGTACAGACAGGCAGTGACAAGGAAGTGAGGTAGCTGGGCTAAGAGCCAATGAGAAGGCAGAACAGCAAGGCAATAAAGGCGCAGGTTAGACAGGAAGAGGTTCTCTTGGGAAGCTATGGCAGCGTGGTGAGCTAAGGTTAGCTGGTGGCTCTCACTATTTCTCTGATCTCTACATGGCTTTCACCCCTGTGTTTGGTTGTGTTTCTTATTTAATAAGACTGTTTAGAAATCCATCTATAGGAGAGAGAGAGAGAGAGAGAGAGAGAGAGAGAGAGAGAGAGAGAGAGAGAGAGAGAAAACCAAAGAGGGCATGTGGTAGTCAGGAGACGCGTTTTGGAAGTTAATTCTCTTTTTTCACTGTGGGTTCCAGGGACTGAATTCAGATCAGGCTTGCAAGGCAAACATTTAGACCTGTTGACTCATCTTCATCTCCAAGAAGTAAATCTTTAAAACTAGCTATTTTGGCTTTTGTTATATTCACTAATCCAAATACAAAGGGTGAGTTCAGAGATTGTTGGGTCAGGTTTAGGGAAGTGACAGCTCAGCTCAGCTCAGAACATAAATGGAGAGCCACCCAGATTTATGGGAAAGCATTTCAGGGAAGAGGACCATTGGTACAAGAGCCAAGACCTTGTCAGCCTTTTATGTAATGGGGCAGCTCAACCATGTCACCCATCTCTTAGTTTACAGTGAGTGAGCCAAATGGCAGGCTTGTGACTTAAGCAGAGCAACCACAGATCTCTTATGACAGGGATGGGACAGAATGGGTCTTCCTCTGGGATTACAAATTTTAGGGATCGTTTCAGCAGTTATGGCGATCACATTGTTTACCAGGAAGGCTCATCTAGCAATAAAGTCTACACAAGGCCAAGAGATAAGTCTTTGACCCATGGACACACCTGACCTTATCAAGAGCTTGATATGAAAACCAGTTGTTTTTCGGTTGAACTGGGTTTTAGCCCCTGCAAGCAAGAATACCCAGAATCAGGCCCTTCCTGTGTGCAACTGGCAGTCCATGTGGGACAAGGAGTTGGAAACCAATGTTCTCCACTCCTCAGGAGTTAAATGGCTAATTACAATGCCTGTCAAAGGGACAAGCTACAGCCTAAACTGTAGGGCACATTCGAAAGAATGAAAAACCAAGTCTCTCATTGAGGCTTCTGCATGCCCATCACCCAGCAGTGTCTGGAAGGCTGACAATATGCCTTACTGGACTGTGAAAGTCTGGTTCTCTATCCAGGAGAGAGATCTTCCTGCTTTCAAAAAAAGATCTTAGGCTGCAGCTCAGGTTTGTCTCAAAGTCCTGGCAATCCTGCTCTAACCTCCCAGGTACAACCCACGTCTGCCTGTGATGGCTTTGTAAAGATGTGGGTGGCGCCGGGCGGTGGTGGCGCACGCCTTTAATCCCAGCACTCGGGAGGCAGAGCCAGGCGGATCTCTGTGAGTTCGAGGCCAGCCTGGGCTACCAAGTGAGTTCCAGGAAAGGCGCAAAGCTACACAGAGAAACCCTGTCTCGAAAAAACAAAACAAAACAAACAAACAAAAAAAAAAGATGTGGGTGGCTGCCACCAGGAAGACACCTTAGGTGACAAGACCCCATTCTAGGGGGCCCCACACAGACTGACACCTGAAAGTAAGTGGGCTCCTGGGCCTTCCTGCCATGCCGAAGTTGATCACTGCTGCTTACTAGGGGGGTGTCATGAAGTGGTTAAAGGCAGAGGCTTTCGAGTTGGGTCACAATGCCACACCTGGTTTTCTTTGTAGCTGTGGTCTAATCCAGTTCTGCCACAAATATAAGTAGCCTTGGTGGAGTGCCACCAAATCT